CCACTCCTTTTGGGTTTTTTCTTACCATTTTCATGGATCACCGTCACACTGGACTGTAAAAAAAGGGACTAATGGGAAAATGCAAGAATTAATACGAAGAACCACAATTGTGAAGGCCTACAATATTGAAAACGAATTATAATATGACAGAAAAAGTGCTTGGTCAACCACATCTTTATAGAGAAGGAATTTGCTGCAAAGAGGTTCTCTTTACAGGACAATGTGTCCGGAGAGCCATACACCACACATCAGATCACCATACAGCACGTGTTCTTTTGCAGAACTATTGGGTTAATGATTGGGCTGTCATTTCTTGCCAGTAAAGGAAACGAGAGGCAAAAATGGCGTGTCTTTCACATAATACTGTGAAAGAGTTGGGACATGTGGGCAGGTGTATATATTTTACTGTACTTCTTCGGGTTAATTTTCTCATCAGTTGGGACCGTAATGTGTGTTTATGACTTTTATTCCTAGCCATAGCCATAACACTGTCCCAAGGGATTCCATGTTAGTTGGTGAATCGGTTCCTTTTGCAAATTGAGTATTGATTTTTCAAGCCTTGCGGTTTGATGATTGTGCATGTGCTTTTTATACAATGTTTATTTTACTCTGCTGTTATCAGAATAGAATTTTATCATTGTCCTCTAAACACTCAAATGTATTAGTGACCTTGTGGAATCAGCAGTTTTAATGGAAGACTCTTTTTGAATTGAGAATAAACAACGCCAAACATTAATTTTGTTATTTAATGAGAGTAAATGCGGGGCTGACAGCATATATTTATGTCTGCCAGACACTCAAATATAATTGGTGTTCCCCCGGATATTATTTCTGTTGGATTCAACCGTAAAAGGCCGTAGGCTGGGGCAGTATCCGTCACGCGTCCAGGTTTTTCATCGACTGTGCGCAGGAGAAAGTGCGACGCGTAGACAATCCTGTATAAAACACTCGACCCAATACAAAGTCATTGCGAAAAGCTGTCGTAGGCCGTGTCAATCATTTTAAGCTGCGGCTAGCAATTGCATACGAGTCTATTATGGTAGTGGCCGTGGTTGGTTGGAATTCCCTTTGAGTCGTGTGTAATTTCAAGCCGCAGCCAAGTGATTCGGACGCAGCTTCATTTTAATCCCAACTTTACAGATGTAAAAAAAAATGATGTGCTAAAATTCAATAAGACCCACCAGTGTGCGAGTACCCGGAAATACCGTTCATTTCAGGATTCAATTTAAAGGAGGGGAAGGTTAATAGATCAGGAATCACCCAGAAACCTGAAGTTGCAATTTTATTAGTTCCAGAAGTTGTTGAACAACAAGAGATTTTACTTGCTGAATAGGATGAGTTATGAAGTTTTTCGAAAAGTTGCCCAAGTCGACGTTGTTGTCGTTTGAGGGTTGCCTGGACAGTTGTGTCATGAATAAAAATCCATGTGTTTCTAATAACCCGTTTGCGTAAACGAAGCTGCCCTGAACATGGCCCGAACAACGGCCTCTAGAATCCTGACTAAGGTGGAGTTTCAGGTCGGGGGGAATATTTGTTGCGGCAACGATACTGTGTCATGTCGTGAATGTGTGCACAGATACGCGGCGCTGCATGTGTCAACAAGGAAACATTTTGGATTCACATCACCGGCTTACAAAATAATTGTGCGGCCCGACCTCAAGTGAGGTATTCTTGAGAGGTACTGGGGCTCCGCGTTCAGGTGAATGCATTAGAAAGACAAACAAGATTTATCATTTCAGTGTTTGGATAAAACATGTAGTTTATTTTCGTCTATCGCAATAACTAAGCAGGCCAGCAGACGCTACGAGATTACGTGGTTTCGAATTCCTGGGGGCAAGATACCGTCCCCATTGTTTTACAACTTACACTATTCATTACGCTGTTTTCGCAGTGCACAGAAACTGATGTGTATGTTGATATTACAGGAACCTCCCGTTTGTTGTAGTAAATTTGACATACGGATCTTTGTGACACCAGTTCGTTGAAGAGTTCTTAATCGCTGTACTTAGGCGAACCTGTTCAGTTTTAATGTTGTGCTTCTTTTAGGACCGACATTTGCAACCACGCGCAGATCTTGCCTGTTTGGTCACCGACAGTAGTGAAAAAGGTATCAGACATCTTTAATTAATTTCAATTTATGGAAGTGCACACATTGACGTACCTTATGATGTTCTTGACTTTAAAAGGGGATCTTCTGAGAAGATTTTTCTATCTGTTCCTTCGCATTTTCTGCGTTTTCAGTCGTATCAGACGAGAGGAGGGGGAGGCGCTCGAAAATGCAAGTCGTCAGAAAATTGTGTGATGATGATGCGGACGATATTTCTGCACGAGTCACATTGGATTTCTATTGATCTTCATACCTACATGTAATTTCTTTTTACACATTGAGTCAGGTTTCCTTCATAATTTAAAATTACCATCTGTTTGAATTTGATGATTTGTTTATTTTTCAGACAGCTTCAGGAAATGACCAGTATAGTTTAATTTTTGCAACGGAGCCGGACTATTTGTTCACGTTTGTGTTTACCTTAGATGCTAACACCTCCAATTGTCCCAGTAGGTTCAGTTAAGAAATCAGGATACATAATATTAATTTTTACCCGCTGTGATACTTACACAACTTCTCGACAATCTTCACCCTCTAACAATAATAGCTTCTCTTGGCTTAGCTTTTATCGTCGCTGGTTATTCAATCAGCATTTATTGTTTGTTTGATAATCTATTGCAGATGGCGATGGCTTTGTTTACGTTCCTGTTGTGTATTGGAGCGTCCATTAGAATCGCTCAGTCATCACCCTGCCATGCGCAATGCACATATGACCGGGTAACTGGTAAGGCCGACTGCTCCTCCCGCAATCTGGACTGCATCCCCGTCAACTACCCAGACTCCCTCGTCATGGATCTCAGCCACAACAACATATCGATACTGGAACCAGCCGATTTCAACAGGACATTCACAAGATTGGTTGAAATCTACCTTGACTACAACAATATATACGATGTGACGTCACTTATGACGTCAACTGAGATGGGAAGCCTAAAGAAACTGTCGGTTCAACACAACGTCATTGTGCACTTGGACTATTCATGCGGGCTGGATTCCCTTGAGGATATATCATTAGACAACAACATGATCAATAGCTTATACGAATTTCCACATTGTCAACGTTTAAGGCGCTTTTCGGCTGATTCGAATGAATTTCAGCATGGAATTTCCTTATTCGTATTTGATTCTCTCCCCTCGTTTATTAGCATGCGGTTCAACCGAATAACATATTTCCATATAGGAACTCATTTTCCGCTGTTTTTATTTGAAAATTTGACCTTGTTATTGAATCACAATGAAATCAGTGATGTTCATATAGAATACCACTGGCATCAAATTAACCCAACCCTAATTTCTCTTAGTTATAATAGACTACAATATGTATATGTCCCAGCTCCTAATGAGTTAATCATAGCCAACAATGGATTACGTGGACTGAATATTGGAATCTGGGTTTATCAGCGCGAAAATAATATAATGAGGAAACTTGACGTAAGGAGCAACTCGTTTGATTGCCTGATACAACCAGATTGGGCAGAAGGTCTCCTTATCTTACATGCCAACGGCAACCTGTTGAGAAACCTGTCCTCTACAACCCTGCAAGGATTCGTCAACCTGACGGAACTCCATCTAGCAAACAATCGCCTGCTGTTTATCTATCCAACCGCTCTGCATCAACTCACCCTGCTACGGTCTCTGTATCTCGATGACAACGCCTTGACATCACTATTTGGTGGGGTATTTCTCAACCAAGCTGATCTGTTGGAGCTGTCCATCACCAATAACCAACTTTCCGTCTTACATCCTGATTACTTTTTCGGTCTGGGCTCGCTTGAACGTTTGTATCTAGCTGGAAATCGACTGCTTGACGTCAACCCGGAGATTTTTCGACTTATGCCTGGACTTACCACAATAGATTTTTCTCAAAACGATCTAAACATTTTTGATATCACCGATTCCAATCTTTTGGAGATTTTTGGGTAATTTGGAGAACGTCTTTCTGGCTCACAATTCTCTGACTGACATAAGTTCTACACTTGGCCATTGCGAAAGCTTGATAATACTCGACATTCGTTTTAATCAGGTCGAAGTGGTTTCCTGGTGACTCTCTTATTGGCAAAAACAGAGCGCTCTCCAGACTTGAGCTTGAAGGCAACCCTCTTCAGTGTGACTGCCGATTGACGGGTCTACGCGACTGGCTTCTCAACAATCCCCCGTCTACTCTTCCTCGATGTCAAGGTCCACCGAAGAACTCCGGAACAGTGGTTACAGACTTGGGCATACATGACCTCTCCTGCAATCCTCCCAAGGCCATGATTAAAAAGAATCACCTCAACTTGACGGTCGGCCAGACAGCGACCCTGTCATGCACTGCGACTGGTATACCCATCCCTAACATTACATGGCTGGACCCCAACGGCACGATGATACAAAGTACAGGAAGATTTGTCTTTTCCTCAGACATGACTTTTCATATTATTTCGGTTGAGATATCTGATCAAGGGATATACACGTGTTTGGTTCAAAATACCCTTGGTGAACTGGACAGAGCTGTGGTTAACCTTACTGTTACCAACGACCTGGACTCAGATATATCTTTGGCTGCTTCTGTTCTCCCCACCATGTTTGTCACCCTTACTGTTACTCTCACTGTTGTCGTTCTGATAATTTTCCTCAAACGGCGCTACAGAAAGGAAGACCAGACCAATTTGACCTGCTGCTGGGCCGCCTCATCCAGAACCCACTGTCAGCTTCCACCATAGAAAGGCCTATCACTCAGACGGAGGCTACGTCAATAAAGTCAATGACGACCAGTGCGTAGAGTCTGCAGCCAACAGGTCAGGTAGAGAAGATGATTATGAAGTCACCGTTCGGACGAACGACCCTCCTCAAGTCTACCAAGAACTGGCACTGCAGAACAAAGATGACGAGTATGAATCAGTCTCTGGTAGAGGCGGTCAGTGATAAGCACCACCTCTAAGATGGAGGATAGCTGACCATTGTGTGATGATGATGTTTGCATAAAACACTCCACTTCGAATTCTTCTCGATTATTTTCTAGCAGCATGTCAAAAAATCCCTTTTCTCTCTCTGCTTTGGGATGTTCAGGATTGTGTGGATATGATCACACACGCCGATGAACATCTTGCGTTTCATGTGGGCGTTAATTAAACTGGGACAACGCGCCACCATCTGTGATATTAAACGATTATACATTGTACCTAGATGTACATAAAGATTAAGTAGGCACCTGTGTCTGGGTTCATACAGTAGACAGCACTGCGTGATCACTTGTTGGTGCGGGATGCTCGTTGCCCTGTTATGACGGCTAAATCAAAATTACTTGGCTACTGCTAAAATATACATGCGAGTATGGTAAAAAACGAGAAAGCTGGCCGTTAGCCGCGTCCATGGGCACATGACTTGTGTTTTTCTTCCATCCGTTATCAAGTAATCATGATGCAGCTGCAAATGTCTACCAATCCCCTCTTCGTTTCACCGTTGAGGGGGTAGTTGTGAGCGGAGTCCATAGGACAGCTCATACCTTTCCACGTGTAACAGGTTTTCTGCATGTAGAAGTTCAGTATAATGTAGATGTTAATACTGACCTTAATGTATAAAATTATTTTCTTATGTGCATGTATGTTGCGTCCAAACGTTGCTAATGCCTTGTGATATTGCAGTTATTATGGATTTTTTTATATCATATCCTTGTATACGTAGTCGAAAATATCCAATGCATTCTTCTGCAATAAGTTCCAACTGAAACCAGGAAATTTCTTTGGATAGCCCTAGCAATTAAACCAAGAGTTCTAACGGGCCAATGAGGAAGTTAGAATAGCACGTAAATGTTTACTTTTGTATTTTTTCAGAACTCCATTTTTGCTCTCCAGGGTAGTCTCATTCTCGTTGTAAATCCCCAACTCACGGGACACGACTATCCTAACCTAGTCCAAAATATGACTATTTAGACTGTTATCTTCTGACGTAAGATGTTCGGTACGAGGTTTCCCAACTACATGAAGTAACATGCATGATTCTATGAAAACTGGAATAGATGACAACACTATATTGAAGCCATGCAATTTCATATAAGGTTTCAAAAGTTTGTGGTGGTATTGTTAAAAGAATAGTTGTGTAATTATCGTCTGATTGGAATTTTAATGTTTTGGCAAGTGTAGAGAGCTTGGAATCCAATTTTTCTACTGAGTGACTACGGGAAATGTGGGCACAATCTTGCGGTTCCGCGTACAGTGTCGTGGAGGATGCCAATGCCTTCTTCTACACCCTTTAAAAAAAGGCGCTTAGAGTTCAAACCCATTTCTAAACACTTTTTGTTCCCACTTTTTAGCACGTTTTGTTATGCGTATAGGAATACGGGTAGGCTTAAATGCTAAGCGGATTTCAAAAGGCTGAACATGTACCATCGAAAGGTGTTTAGCATTTAAAGCTTATACACATTCTTAAACACATTCAATTAACATGTCATGGGTTAAGGGTCTTAAAAAGTGGTTACAAAAAGTGTCTAAACTGTTAACGTTGTTTTTATAGTGTGATGTTGGCTAGCCCCCATCACTGCTTGCATAAATTGATGGGAAGGGCAACTACACGAACTTCAAATACATGTATAGGCATGACGTAGTTTTGGGCGAGCACTAATTGGATAGAGGTCATTTCCACAAAAACACGGGCCGACACCTCTGCTGTTGGGACATGTTACTTATGTACTCCCCAGAGTTGTAGACTGAGCCACTTGACTTGGATTCGAGTAGGACACGAGTCGCTCTTTTTGTGACTCGTAAATTGAATTGTAACTATCAGTTTTCGACTTGTGTCTTGACTTGGACCTAAACATTATGACTTGTTACCAACGCAAGTCAGAAAACTGTTCAATCGAACCCATTACAATTTTAAACTTTTTCGTTTACGTTTTTCACTGTTTCCCCCGCCTTTCCGGGGGAGCCAATCAACAGCTTCGTTTGAGCATCATATTGAGCTATTCATATCAGTTCATGACCTCATTCAGCCTAGAACCAAAAATGGCGTCCCAATCTCAAAGCAGCCCGGGCCAAAAATTTCCGCGTAAAATGCCGCGCTTAGGTGGTTGTAACATGCTTTTCAGACACTCTAATACGTGTAGATTATTTTTCTAACAACTACTTTACCCTGTAAATTTCCAGTTTGGGGGAGAAATGGGCGACATTCGCAGTACTAGAGTCGTCGTGTCCGTACCGTGTGCGACGATGTGCGACAAGGCAAAAATTGAAAATGGCTCAGAGTTTTTGGTTATCTGCGCACATTGCAAGTTCGTGGCTATTGCCCAAGACCATAGAAGGATATTTGTGAGCGCAGAACTCAAAGCATCTAAAAAGTTAAATGATGTTTGCTGATGGTTCAGTGTGAAAACGTCTTTCGTGAACGTGCAGCATGTTGACAAGTTGAAAGTTCTTTGCACAACTTCCGCCCGGCAATCATCACTCAAGTGATATGAATAATGCACATCCTACCATTATTACTATAGCATTTTTTTGTTGAGTCCAGAGATGGACTGCAGGCTTTACACCATGTTTGGGTTGCTCGCACTGATCGCCGAAGTTTATTCCTTGTTCTACATGCAGTGGTCACGGTGGTTTATTTTACATGTTAAAAAGAAACCTATGGCAGAAGAAATAAATTTTTCAACCACATTAATTGCTGTTACAGAATTAAGCCCACAATAGTTTTCAGTTTATACAGAGTTTAACCCCAAAATTAACCTATGATTGATAAAGATAAATCCTTACCAACCGATCCTCTTCGTTAAAGCTTCAAAATACAGTTGGCCAAGAGTTCATTTTACGGAAACATCTGTACATGTGACCAAACGTGGAGGGAAATCCTAACAAAATGTAGGCCCAGCCCAAGCACTTAGGCACCCTTAATCCGCCCCTTCTGCATGACCTTGCTTAAAATAACTGAATTGCCCCATAACATTGGAAAAATATTTAATTGAAGATTACTAACTTTTTACTTGACTGCCCCTTCTATCTGGCATAGAAAGGAAAAAAAAAGTGCGCCCTTATACAAAGTTAAATTATGTACATGTATACTTACGCGCCTGGACCTGCAACGCCGTAAAAATGAAAGAGCACCCTCTGATGACCAAAGACATTATTCAACACCAGACACTGCTACTCCCTCCATGAAACCAAAATCCTAGTTCACCACATTACCATAGTCTGTTGCCGCCGCTGGTCAACAAGTGATTATCCAGGGTGCACTGCAATAAACAAATTCCCATTGACAGCAGTGATAAAGTCCCATACTTCACAAATACTTAAAACTACTCACAACACAACTCTCACAGGTGTTCAAGCTGCACAAAAAAACATGTTCGACATCTTCTCTTTCATTTTCCTTTAAATTTTTAGTGGGTTGACCAATGAATTTTTGAGCAATTCTCACCCGACAAAGCCCCCCCCCCCTTAAATGAAGGAAATTTCACTGCCAGGAAAAGTAGCCTGTTTGAAAATGTATCCCTCTGCAAAATGGCTCAAACAGTGCCACTTTCGGACCCAATTGCATCCAAATTGCTCAGAATTGGAAGCCCTGAGTCCGGGCCAGAGGTTTAGTGCCACATTTCTTCAATTCCCCAATTCCATAGCTGTCAGGACGTACTTTTATCAATGAGCTCGGTGGACATATTTCTGGTCTATATACGTGAGTGTACCCTCCAAAGCCTTCCTGTGTGGTTTGTGTCGCAGATCACGGAATAACTATGAAAGGCCTCAGGACCAAGACTAGGCTGCAGCTTGAAATCGGGAGACACTATCTGGGCGCAAGCCGGGTACGGTCATGAATAATACAGCATATGACGTAGACATGAAGTGACTGTAAAGCTCAGTGACCAGTGGCTCCCACACCACTTGCGAGAAAAATAACTGGAAGATTTGCATTGGCGTCAAGTCCATCCATTCTTCAAATTGTGTCGCTCCGGTGTGGCCTGTGAGATAAACAAGGAAAGCCCATTAGGTTGCTAAGGAACATGTATGGCATTAGGGTTGTACCTCCTGCTGCCTGATAATCACCGGGATTATTTTTGTCCATGACAAAAAAATGTGTGGTTGGAAGAGATTTCCAAGACTTTTCTTCTCAGCCGACTTTGAAGTTTATAAATACATGTGTCTTCATCCCAAATCAATAATGCAATGCTGTCAGAAGAGGATGGCATGAATTGGAGTATAGAACAATTATTCAAATATATTAATGTTTTGCAGGTACACTTCTCTGATAGGGCTGGGCTCTTTCTTGTCATCCAAATCTATAATGCTTTTCAAACGTCAGTTATTGCACCAGTGGCCTATTCCGCGCTAGGCAAGCCTACTGATTAATATTTTTTTGGGGGGTTGGGGTATAAGTTCCCACCCCTCGCGGACTGACATCAATGAACTGCACCAGAAGCTAACTATGCATTGTTTCGAACACTTAGGTGGGAAATTGTGGAATGAACGACATCTTCATCAGACTGCTCACTTGTAAATTCAGATGCTGTATTCTTGTGTTTCCGCCATGACTTCAGGTCCGACTTTGATCCATCACCCGCGCCCATAATAGGGCTTTGCTGCTGCCAAGAAATCATCTTCACCGTCGTCCATACCACTGGCATCGCTAGTATCGGAAGACGACATGTCGGAGTCGCTTTCGGCCAACAGTTCGTGCAAAGTGTCTTCGTTTTCAGTGTTTTGGCCATTGCTTATTTGGTAGCTGTGTACATTACATGTCAGATGCGTGAAACTCTGTGGCAGCGCATCGCGTACTCACGCTAAACTTATACCGCAGCAAAGGATGCCCGCCTGCTGTCGAGCAACCAATCAGAAGTGGGTGTTAAAGTGAGGGCGTCCTTACGCTTTAGACAACCTGCCGATTAGATTGTTCCTGAATGGCACGTCGGTAGCGACGGGGTTGCAATTTTTCGTGCTCATTTTACGCGAAGCCCCTCTAGGTATAACCAAGGAAACGACAGTGAGGGTGACAACAATGATGACAAACATGGTGGGGAGAACAGCACCAACCGTTGGATTTGATTTTATAACGGTAGCGCTGATCACAGCTCTGTCCTCATAATCCATGGGATTTTGACTTAAACATGTGAATGTTCCTTGATCGGATATTTCAATCGAAGTGATATTTGAAATCATGTCATCTGACATAAAGAATCTGCCTTGCGTAGAGTATCACCATATATCACTGTGCCGTTGGCGTTCAGCCGAGTCATGTTTGGGACGGATACACCAGTTGCCGTGCACGAAAAAGTTGGTGTCTGACCGACTGTCAAGGTTAGACGATTCTCACCAATCATGGCTTTTGGAGGACTGCAAGAGAAGTCATGTATGTCCAAGTCAGTAACCACTACGTCAGAGTACCGCGATGGACCTTGACATCGAGGGAGAGCAGACGGGGGATTATTGAGAAGCCAGTCGCGTAGACCCGTCAACCGGCAGGCACACTGAAGAGGGTTGCCTTCAAGCTCAAGTGTGGAGAGCGTCACCGGGAACTACTTTGATTTGATTGAAACTCAGGTCCAGCATTACCACGCTGTCACAATGACCAATATGCAGGTGATATCATGGACTGAATTGTGAGCAAGAACGAATTTCTGTAAATGGTTGAGAAAGCTGCAATTTGTGCTATCAAAAACATTCAGTTCATTTTGGGAGACATCCATGGTGTTTAGTCGGGGCATCTGTCGAAACATCCCCGAGTGGACGTAAATCAGTCGATTCCCAGTGAGATGCAGACGTTCCAGCGAGTTCAGACCGATAAAGTAATCGGGATGTAAGAATGAGAGTTGGTTGTTAGTGATGGAAAGTTCCACGAATTCAGCTTGGCTGAGAAATATTCCACCTACATGTAGCAGTGACGTCAGGAAGTTGCCATCGAGATACAGAGACCGTAGCATGGTGAGATGACTCAAAGCGGTCGAAGAGACGAACAAGAGTCGATTGCTTGCAAGATGGAGCTCCTTTAGATTGACAAATCCTTTCAGGATTTTCGAGAACGGGTTGGCCGGGATGTTGTCACCAGCATGTAAAATCGGTCGATGGGGTAACCCCTCTAGCCCACTTGACTTACCTCGTTGTGATCCAAATAAGGTCTAATTATAAATCCCGGTCGATGTTGGGGCAGTGTTAACATTTGTTATCCGGTTGAATTATGAAACGCAAGAAATTTTATTTAATGAATGGGGATGAGCAATATGACGTCTTGCACAAAACCACAAGTTGACGCTGTTAAACTTTTAGGGCAAACTTGTCACTGGGTCATAAAAATACATCTATTTCATATACGTGTACATGTCATGTATATTTCCGTTTGCACAATGACCCGAAAAAAAAACCGGTGGTAGAATACTGACTTCGGGCTTAGATTCAAGTCGAGGGGAAATTTCGTCAATCGCAATAGTATTGTGTTGGATTTGTACATTAATACGCGGTGCAGTATGTGTCAATAAGGAAGCATTTTGGCTTTACACTCCAAGCTCACAGAATAATCGTGCGTCCATGACCTCAAGCATGCTATTCTTGGAAGATATACAAGGCTCTGCGCTCCGGTGAACGCATTCAAAAGACAAACGAAATTTAACATTTCAATGCTTGGGAAAAAGCACATGTAGCTCATTTCCGTTTGATATTGCAATAAGTACGGACGCTATGAGATGACACGGTTTTGAATTCTTGGGTTTTACGGGCGGGATTTACGTTGCATGCTTCATTTTACGCGATTTATTGATATGAACGGTGCTGTTTTCGCAGTGCACAGACGTGTAAGCTGCTGTTAGATGTAAAGTAGGAACCTGCCCTCTTTTGTATTAAATTTGACAAACGGATCTCTGTAACAATCGAACACCTCTTGGCTGAAGAGTTCAGGATCGCTGTACTTTAAAGTTCCACTTCTCTTCGGGTCGACATTTGCAACCAGACACAAATCTTGTCTGAGTGGTCAGAGAGAGAGAAAGAGAGAGAGAGAGAGAGAGAGAGAGCAGTGAAAAAGGTATTGGACATCAATTTCACTTTATGAAAGTACTAGTATCGACGTATTTATGATGTTCTTGATTTTAAAAGGGGATCTTATGAGAAATCGATAAATTTCAGGAAAGCTGTCTTCCTATTACATTTTTCGATCTGTTCCTTTGAATTGTCTGCGTTTTCAGTCGTATCAGACGAGAAAGACGGAAGCGGCTCGAAATTCTCTATGAAGTAAGAAGTCTAATAAAATAACAGGAAGGTGACTTTCAGGAATCTTTTTCAGAAATACACCGCAGTTGTTATAATTTTTTGTGATGCCGATGCGGATAATAATTTCTGCCCCAGTCACTTTGGATTTTTTTGATTTGCATACATGTAATTTCGTCAGTGACGGTTTGACTTGGATTCGAAATGTATTTAAACATCACAAACTGTAGCCAATCTGTGAAACCCACTTTTTAGACACTGAATCAGGTAACCTTCGTAAGTTAAGGTCACTATCTATTTCGAATTTGACCGTTTGTTTATTTTTAGGACAGCTTCAGAAACTGACCTATAGTTTAATATGTTTGCAGCGGAACTATTTGTTTAAGTTTGTGTTTATCTTGGATGTACACAAACCTCTTACTGTCCTCATAGGCTCAGTTAAGAAATCAGAATACATTTTGATTAATTTTTTTCATCAACTGACAGTATGCCAGAGCATTTATTGTTTGTTTGATAATCTATTGCAGATGGCGATGGCTTTGTTTACGTTCCTGTTGTGTATTGGAGCGTCCATTAGAATCGCTCAGTCATCACCCTGCCATGCGCAATGCACATATGACCGGGTAACTGGTAAGGCTGACTGCTCCTCCCGCAATCTGGACTGCATCCCCGTCAACTACCCAGACTCCCTCGTCATGGATCTTAGCCATAACAACATAACGATACTGGAACCAGCCGATTTCAACAGGACATTCACAAGATTGGTTGAACTCTACCTTGACTACAACAATATATCCGATGTGACGCCACTTATGACGTCAACTGAGATGGAAAGCCTAAAGAAACTGTCGGTTCAACATAACGCCATTGTGCAATTGGGCTATTCATGTAGGCTCGAGTCTCTTGAAGATTTATCGCTGGACAACAACCTGATCAATAGTTTATACGACTTTCCATATTGTCAACGTTTGAGGCGCTTTTCTGCTGATTCAAATGAACTGCAAACCTTTCGAGTTGGCACATTTGGGTCCTCTGTTTTCCCTTCATATGTTAGCTTGCGGTTCAACCGAATAACGTATATTTCCGTTTACATTTATCGATTTGTTTCATCTGGAAATCGGACCCTTTTACTAGATCACAATAAAATATCCCAACTTTACATATTTCGAGATGTACAAATAGGCCTACTCTCTCTGAGTCATAACAGAGTCCGATATTTAGAAGCCCGAACTCCTGGTGAGCTGATCCTAGCCAGCAATGGCTTACATGAACTGGATAACGGATTCCGTTTGTTTGAACGTGAAAATAGCTTGATGGAGAAACTTGACATTAGGAACAACTCGTTCGATTCCCTGATACAACCAGACTGGGCAGAAGGTCTTGAGATTTTACATGCAGATGACAACCTGTTGGCCAACTTGTCCTCTACAACTCTACAAGGATTTGTCAACCTGACGGAGCTCCATTTAGCAAACAATCGACTGTTGTTCATCTCTCCGTCAGCTCTGAGTCAGCTCACTATGCTGCAGTCTCTGTATCTCGATGACAACGCCCTGACGTCTTTGCTCGGTGGAATATTTCTCAGTCAAGCTGAATTAGTGGAGCTATCCATCACCAACAACCAAATCTCCGTCTTACATCCCGATTACTTCACCGGTCTGGATTCACTTGAACGTCTGCATCTCGCTGGGAATCGACTGCTTTACGTCCACTCGGTGATGTTTCGACACATGCCTAGACTTACCACCATAGACTTTTCTCAAAATGAACTGGAACGTTTTGATATCACCAACTGTAACCTTTTCAGTGATTTAGAGAACGTCTCTTTAACTGAAAATTCCCTGGCTGACATCAGTTCTATACTGGGCCATTGCGAAAGCTTGATAATACTCGATATTCGTTTAAATCAGATCGAAGTGGTTCCTGGTGACTCTCTTACTGGCAAAAACAGAGCGCTCTCCAGACTTGAGCTTGAAGGCAACCCTCTTCAGTGTGACTGCCGATTGACGGGTCTACGCGACTGGCTTCTCAATAACCCCCCGTCTGTTTTCCCTCGATGTCAAGGTCCACCGCGGTACTCTGGAGCAGTGATTACAAACTTGGGCGTACATGACTTCTCCTGCAGTCCTCCAAAGGTCATGATTAAAGAGAACCAACTCAACGTCAGGGTCGGCCGGACAGCGACTTTATTATGCACGGCGAGTGGCATACCCGCCCCTAACATAACATGGCTTGATCCGAACGACATGGTGATATCAGACGAAGGACATGGACGATTTGTCATTTCCTCAGACATGACCTTGCTTATTATTTCGGTTCAGATATCCGATCAAGGGGTATACACGTGTATGGCTCGAAATACCCTGGGTAAAATGGACCGAGCGGTGATCAGCCTTACTGTTATCCAGGACCTGGAGTCTTCAACCTCTTTAGCTGCTTCCGTTCTCCCCACCATGTTTCTCACCCTTATTGTTACGTTCATTGTTGCCGTCCTGGTCATTTTCCTCAGACGGCGCTACAGAAAGGGAGACCAGACCAATTTGACCGCTTCTGGGCCGCCTCATCCAGAACCCACTGTCAGCTTCCACCATAGAAAGGCCTCTCACTCAGACGGAGGCTACGTCAATAAAGTCAATGATGACCAGTGCGAGTCTGCAACCAACAGGCCAGGTGGAGAAGAAGTTTATGAAGTCCCCGTTCGGAACACCGACCCCCCTCAAGTCTACCAGGAACTTGCACAGCAGAACAAAGATGAAGAATATGAACCAGTCTGTTAGTGGTGGTCAGTAATAAGCACCATGCACCTCTGAGACGCACGAGGAAATTAAAGACTTAACATATAGAATTCTGATGAGCATTGTGTGATGACGTTTGCATGACGCACTGAATTTCTTCTCGATGCACATCTTGCGTTTCAGTTTCTTTAATACATGTACGTTGGTCCGGGAAATTGCGTCACCATTGTTGATAGGGCTAATTAATTATTATTTAGATTTACGTGAAAATTAAGCACGCATCTTTTGCCTATAAATCACGGTGGATTTTGTATACAATAGAAAGCACTGTTTGATCACTAATGGCTTTCAGGTTCTCCGTAGTTATGACGGCTACGGCTAAACAAAATATCACGCGAGTACTGGCAACAATAACGACACAGACCGTTTAATAGTGGCATGCATGGGTACATGAGTTTCTTCAGCTGTAGTCGTGACACAGCTGCCGTTATGCAATTGTCTGCAACTGCTCTCTTTGTTCCACCGTTGAGGTAGTGGTTTTGAGAGGAGTCCAGAGGACATCTCATACCTTTCCACACTTAACACGGTTTTTGCCGGTAAAAGTTAATTATATAATACATATACGTAGATGTGTATACTGACCTTGTATATAGCCTTAAACTTAATGTTTTTTATTTGACTGTAAGCTTTTTTATGATAAGGTCAGCTTTAACACGTAATTTTTTTGTGTGCATGTATATTGTGTCCAGACGTTGCTATTATTTTGTTATAATAGAAAATAGAAAATATTCTATCCCTGTCGAAAATATCCACGCATGCTTCCTTGATAAATTCCAATCGAAACCAGGACATTTTTTTGGATAAAAATGAAGCCAAGAATTCCAACTGTCCCATGAGGAAGTAAAATAATAGGTAAATGTTAACTGTTGTACACTGCCCCAGAACTCCATCTTCGCTGTCCAGGGCAGACTCACTCCCGTCAAATCTCCAACTTACGACACGACTTTACAAACCTAGTCCAAATCATGACTATTCAGTCTGCTATATACTGTACGAGGTTTCCACCAGCATTCAGTGACATTCATGATTCTTTGAAAACTGAGATAGGTGACAGCAGTGGCATTGTAAACAGATAATCGGCTCATAAGATTTTAATTGCCCCTGTATTATTAGTATCAGCGCAGTGCTCTCCGAGAGCTCTGGAGAGTAATTAAGAAACTTGCTATAGGCATGGGAATTGAACGGTCATCTCAAGAATAGTTGTGGAATCATTGTCTGATTGAAATTTCAATGTTTCGGCTTACTTCGAGAGTTTTGAATCCAACCACGCTCAGAAATCTGCATGTTTGACATTGTAAACAAAAATTCATTGTAAAACAAAAATTCGCAAATTTACTGCGCAGGATGTAACTACTTGCTTCTAAAATACAGAAACTCAATTTCCCAAATGCAAATGTGCCCGATCTGTATACTTTTTTTGTGAGGTTACTTTTGGTGCGTTTATATCTGTTGTCTTGCAGTTTCTCGCGTTCCAGTGTAAAAATAGTTCCTTCGCAATAGGGAGTCTAGGACCGTAATGTTTACTTTGGGCTATATTCAGATGCGGCATTTCTGCTGTACTGTTTATCGTTTGTTGCTGTCTGGGAGGGCAGGATGCCGATGCCTTCGTAGGGGTACTCTGCCCTCTAAAAAGGCGCATAGGGTTTAATACATTTCTAAGCACTTTTTGTTCTAACTTAAAAAAAAACCACGTTAACCCGTGACACGTTTTTATTATGCGTTTAGGAATATGCTAACCGGATTTCAAAAATCTGAACATGTACCACGGGTCAAATTCTATTTAGACATTGCCATCCACACCTCTCACAAGCAGCTAATTGAAATGCAATTAATGATTTTCTCGAATTAATGTACATCCCTCGAGATTGCATATTACAGTACGAATTAACCTTGTGAAAGTAACCAGTGTTAGATGTCGTGTATCACTTTACGGCTGTCAGGGTGGTGCTGTGTATAGCGCAGAGGGAAACCCCTGTTCATGGATATTCTAAGGCTTTTCCGCGTAGAGCAGGGCAAGGTGTAGAAAACGTTCAATAATAAAACGTATAACCATTGCAAAGAGTACCATAAAATTACAAGTGCATGAGTAGGTACAAGGTGCGGAGTGTGTCAACAAAGACCCATTCTGCTCTTTATTTGCAAATCGTACGGCCATGACCTACAGTGTTCGGGCACCCCCGTCTGGGTTAACATGATTTGGGGAATATAAAGGTTCCGACATGCTTGGGAAATGGGAAACCCGTTTCCGCCTGCTGCACTGAGAGTACGGTGGCTTCAAGGTAGCAGGTTGCCGACTATTGAATTATAAGTTTTGGTTTTTTTTATTAGCAAGAAACCATGTATCTACTGTTATCAGTCTGTTCGTGTTTGGTTAAGGAATACTACTAATGAGACAAATCTTCGTCTAGGGAATTTACTTAAACGCAAAGAATAGAGTGCTCAGCCTTTGAAAAGAGGTTTAAAACGGTGCGTAAATCCATTTCGGAGCAGCGACTGTGGGCAAGCCTCTACCGCCTTGTGGGGACAGTTTCTTTTTCAAGGTAAATCGGGACCCTGAGGACCGAGTTGTACAGACATGTCCCGAAAACTTTTCGGTCCCCACGAAATTGGTGCAATAACATATGGTAGCCCTGAGGGGATATACAAATTCACGACTTGTCGCAAATATTTGACCGACGTTGTGAATTTATACACGTCATGGGCAAATATGGTACCCTTCAAGTTAATGGAAAAATATTCGCAACAAAGTTTGCAACCAGTAAATTTATTCTTAACATATCGTCAAAACTATTCACGACGTCACAAAAAATTCACTACTAATCGCGAACTATATGTCCCCTCAGGACTACCATAATACCGCTAGCTTGCCCTCACTACCACAGGACAGGTCTTGTGCACGGTGCCTTGTGGGGTACGGGAACAAGGAAATACCCCACAAGTATAAATATGTAAGGTGGGTGTGGGTGTGGGGGGGGGGTGAACGGCCCTATAGAAATTCGAGAAGTGGGGAACTGCATTTTAACACACCTTACATCGGGGGCGCTGTTCATGGGAGGTACATGTACGTTGTGCTTATGCTCGATATCAGTTTTACTTGAAATACTCGAGAGCCCATTTTAGAAGTTGCACCGGGTGGGTAGAACTCTTTTATGGATGAAACCTGTTGGACAGATGTTTCAGAAAAAAATCCATATCACTCAACCCCCCGGAAAATATTATTCGGCAAACTAGCTTACAACTTGCAACTTTACTGCTAATTTAAATACAGATAAATTAGCCTTTTCAGAGCAGGACAGAATTCGTCAAGGTGAAAAAGGAAGGGACCATGTTAGGCATCCAACAAAGCTCCCAGGCTACGGTGATGTTCTGAGCACCAAGCATCCAGGTTATTTTATTAAGTATCAACAGCACTTTAATAATGACTTGTTAAAGTTACAGATTATGGTGATTTTGATCACCACTTCTCCTTTTAAATGTAATGGTTTTTACATACAAACTTAAGTCTTTCTAAGAAGGCTACTGAGACTGTGATTTGTGGACTGCTTTTGGTAATCCTGAGAAGGCTACTGCACTCGAGGCCGACAGGTCGAAGGTCAGAGTCACAATGGCTGACAATAGAAATCTGCGTGATAGCCTGAGAAATTTGTTTGAACTCAAAGCGAATTGTTCAGTTTCTTTTCGGTAATCCTAACAAGCCTAATGCATTCAAGCCTGAAAGGTGAAAAGTACATGTAACAATGGCTAAAACAAGGCATAGTTGTAGGTTCAGGTATGGGCTTGGCGGGGCATTTGTGACCCACCATCCCAAAACTAGGCTGAAATAGATAACTTCGTTTCCCTGAGGAATTGGAACTTTCATGGGTCGTAGTTTCATGGACGTTAAACCTTTCTGCAGACAGAATGTTGTCTTAGCACGGATCACTTTGAAGTGTGAAAAGAGGTGAAGGAGAGGAATTGTCCAATGTCACAACTTCAGCCTGCATGGTTTTGGGATATTGGGTCCCATTTGTGTTTGTGAACACATTGTTCTCGTTTCTGTCATTATCTTTGTTACTTAATTAGTGGTCACTGTTTCTTATACCTAAGTTATTATATAGTCAAAGTCTAACATTTCAGACCAAGACATTCAACCGAGAGCTGTTCTCTATAAAATTTTGATATTGTATATCCATGAGGTAGACGGACACTTGTTATACACGCATTTTGGCTGCATCCGAATCTCTTGTCTAGAGCTAGGTCTAGGTCTTCGCTAAATTGGAAATGCGTGGAGACGCGCAGACAATAGACCTAGCGGTAGCTCTGGAAGCCCGTTTCGGACACGGCCTTTGTTTCTATTCCGAGGAAGCTGAAACTTGTCACGCTGAGTTCAATACATTGTATTTCTTGGAAGAAAAACACTGATTCGCCAACTCTCACCTCCACAAGTGATTAAAGTTCGTAACCTCCTTATATTTTAGAACTTAATTACCAACACCAGTGCATAGCATCATTCGAAAGTGTACTTTGTAAAGTAATATCATTAATTCTCGTAAGGCCTTTTCCGATTAACGTATTCGTTACATGTATTACTCTAGTGATGTATATAGGAATACCAAAACCATTCCATAAACCAATTGTGAAGTTCAAAATGCCAAGTACTTCTCAAGTTATTGCGCTTAACAACAGTATTCTGGACACACACCCATGCACACCAAAAGGACAAGGCGGAAGTAGCATGTTCCTTCGACTAGGTCGCGGTGCATAAAACCCTTCTCTCTCTTAAATGTAAGCATATTCTTAAAGATAGTTAAAGTTAAAAACATATAAATAAAGTTAAAAAGAAAAGGACTCGGGCCTTCTTCCTCTTGATTCTAGGAAGTTTAACGCGAGCGTGTCACCTGTGTGCTAGATCGTCGATATCCAATGACTTCCAGTTCTGGTTGGCACCAGAGCAATTGGCACCCCTTCACAGCCATTGCCTTGGCTTAGCCTCGGGCATGTTTAAAGACGAGCTTTCCTTTGACTCGTGGACACTCAACCACAGCCAATAAACAGACCCCATCATTCGCTTTGAGGTAATAGAAAGTGGCTTGAGACCTAAAGGACGCTGAGATACCATCGCGAATTTTTAACCTCCAAGATGAATTTTTACAATACCAAATGTACTAACTTCTGTTTGTTAACAACAAATTAACTAAGATTAATACTGCAGTATTCAGCAAAGAATGAATAAGCGGAAGCTGCCAATCTCAACGGTTGACTTGACAATTGCGATATTTTAGGCCTACAATTTTGGTTGAAGATGACTGAGTAAAGCAAGTCTGTACTCTACGAATCATTCAAAGTTGGTTAGAAGCAGAGAGATTTGACTTCTCATTATAAAACAGACATGAAACGAATCAGCCATACTCCTGCACCAGTCCAACAAAAGAAAACATAAGTAGCAGATGAAGATATGCGTGTACTTTAGCTGATCGATACCGCCTCGTACCCGTCATTATCGTTGCCATCATGAGAAGACTGCAGTGGGTTTCTTTGGCGTGAGGTTTGCATGCTGGTATCCTCACATATGCACCCCGGTAATTCCACGTTTGAAGGCGTATGTCTCGGTGTTGGAGTCAGGTATCCCCCACTGTTGTCTGGGCGAGCGGCCTTCTGCCTCCGAAAGACAAGTGTGATCCTGGACTGCAGCCCGGAGAAAGCCGAATTTTGTCTTATTCTCCTCTCACAATGGCGACGGGCACGGGTGACCAAGGTAACGACAGTGAGGGTGACAACAATAGTGACAAACATGGTGGGGAGAACATAAGCAGCCAGGGAAAAAGTAGACTCTAGGTCCTTGGTTACAATAAGATTGATCACCGCTCGGTCCATTTTACCCAGGGTGTTTCGAGCCAAACACGTGTACATCCCTTGATCGGATATCTCAACCGAAATAATATGAAAAGTTATGTCTGAGGAAACGACAAATCGGCCTTGTCTTTCGTCTGATATTATCGTGCCGTTGGGGTCTAGCCACGTTACGTTTGGGGCGGGTACACCAGTCGCTTTGCATGAAAGGGTTGCTGTCTGTCCGACTCTCACATTAAGTTGGTTCTCTTTAATCATGACCTTTGGAGGACTGCAGGAGAAGTCATGTATGCCCAAGTTTGTAATCACTGCTCCAGAGTACCGCGGTGGACCTTGACATCGAGGGAGAGCAGACGGGGGATTGTTGAGAAGCCAGTCGCGTAGACCCGTCAACCGGCAGTCACACTGAAGAGGGTTGCCTTCAAGCTCTAGTCTGGAGAGCGCTCTGTTTTTGCCAGTAAGAGAGACACCGGGAACTACTTTGATTTGATTGAAACTCAGGTTCAGCATTACCAAGCTGTCACAATGACCAAGTACGCAGCTGATATCATGGATTGAATTGTGAGCAAGAAGGAGGTTCTCTAAATGGTTGAGAAAGCTGCAATTTGTGCTATCAAAAACATTCAGTTCATTTTGGGAGATATCCAGGGTGTTAAGTCGGGACATCTGTCGAAACATCCCCGAGTGGACGTAAAGCAGTCGATTCCTAGTGAGGTACAGACGTTCCAGAGAGTTCAGACCGATAAAGTAATCGGGATGTAAGAATGAGAGTTGGTTGTTAGTGATGGAAAGTTCCACGAGTTCAGCTTGGCTGAGAAATATTCCACCTAGCAGTGACGTCAGGAAGTTGCCATCGAGATACAGAGACCGTAGCATGGTGAGATGACTCAGAGCGGTCGAAGAGATGAACAAGAGTCGATTGCTTGCAAGATGGAGCTCCTTTAGATCGACAAATCCTTTCAGGGTTTTCGAGGACAGGTTGGCAAGGATGTTGTCATCAGCATGCAAGATCTGAAGACCTTCTGCCCAGTCTGGTTGTATCAGGGAATCGAACGAGTTGTTTCTTATGTCAAGAGTCTCAATCAGCTTATTCCCAGGCTGAAAAGTCCAAAGTTTGTTATTCAATCGATTTAACCCATCACTGGCTATAATGAGTTTGGTGGGAACGGGAATGTTAATGACTTGCAATTTGCTATGACTGAGAGAGAGTCGGTCTATGGGGTAACCCCTTAGCTGCACTCGACTTGCCTCGTTGTAATCCAGTAATAAGGTCAAATTATAAACCCCTGTCGTTGTTTTGGCAATGTTAACATTTGTTATCCGGTTGAAACGCAAGCTGACAAAAGAAGGGAAACTTTCACGGTGAAGTTGAATGGAAATACTGTGCAGTTCATTCGAATCAGCTGAAAAGTGTTTCAGACGTTGACAGTTTGAAAAGTCGTGTAAATACTTGAGCAAGTTGTTATCGACTAACATGAATTCGAGAGAATCAAGGCTACATGGAAAACCTAAGTTTGAAATGATATTGTGTTGGACCGACAGTTTCGTCAGGCTTCCCATTTCAGTTGACGACATCAGTGATGCCACATCAGCTACTCTGTTGTAGTCAAGGTACAGCTCCACCAACCTCGTGAACGTCCTGTTGAAGTCGTCTAGATCCAGTACCGATATATTATTATGGGTGAGATCCATGACGAGGGTGTCTGGGTAGTTGACGGGGATGCAGTCCAGATTACGATGGGAACAGTCCGCCTTGCCTGTCACGTGATCGTAATCGCACTGGACGTTACAGGTGGATGATTGTCCTGAGCCGACAAGACATCCAACGCAGAACAAGATCATGGCAACATCATACGAATCCATGCTCATCTGAAATTCAAGAAAACAAATCTGAGACCATTATTCATGTAATAAATGTTGGCACGGTGATGTTAGATTGCATTGAGTCGCGTGATGTCACAGGTTAAAATGAAGACATGGATTACCTATTGCTACTTTCTCGAGTTTAAATCTGTTCCATGACCTGCATACTTTTGTATTTCAAGAGGGAAGGATTTTGTACTGTGAAAACGGCAGTTTTACTTTTACATTGATCAGTATCTACATTATTGTCCGGCGGGTATTGCTCAGGGCTAATTAAACACTGCCTTTATGCGCGGTGTGTCATTCTGTGATATTGTGTTCATTTATTTTGATTTTCTATAACGAGTATTCGCTCGTCACCCAGCTCTCGAACAAGGCGCTGGGAAGGACTGCTGACCTTGCACAGATTCTACTGAAGGAAATCATACGGGGTCACAGCTAATTACCCGCAGAGCATTTTCAAATTTCTGCCAGGCGCGCGAGCTCGCTCAATGCTTTACACAAGTGGCGATGTTTTTCTCTTTCTTCCTCAACCGCTGAAAATATTCTCACTACACTTCTTTCTCTCATCCAAAATTGACCAAGATAACCGTTGATTTGAAATAGATCGCCAAAAGACACGTGATCAGGGATACTTAGTGAGAAGATAAATTACTACACTGTGATTGTCCCAAGGCCATGCATTTTTCAATAAAGAGCCGACACTCTGCCCGTGCCGAAGCATTGTCATCGGTGAACCAAAAATTTAAATAAGTTTTCGCAAGCAGGAAGTGAGAACCTTGCAGTCACAGTTCATGCACAATGAAGCCAATCACAATGCAAAGCCACCAGCCCTTCCCAGCGCACCGATAGGGCGCAAGATGACGAACGAATAATGAGTATTAAACTGTTTTCAGCGTGAACAATCTTTAAGTTCGAAGACTTTCGACATCGGCGGCGGATGGCGTCGATCTACTGCTCGTCTCAAGGTTGACCCTTTCGAGTTTTTATTTGTTTTGAGAACAAATGCATGTATCAACCCCTCCCAAGAACATTGAGACTTAGAGTGGCTTGGGTTTCAGCGTGAAGTGGATATTTGCTGAGACAAGTCAGATGCCATGAGACGGAGAATTTTGTACGCGGAAATTAAATACAAATCGTCCATACAAATTTCCTTTTGCAGCGAAAGAACAGATTCGGAGCCGTCTCTACAACTGGCAAAAATGCACCTTCGAGAATTGCTCGCTGTATGAGGTTCGTGTGCTAGCAATTAGCTATATCACATGCTGCAAACAACAGTTCACCAGATTTTTCACAAAGATATTCAGTGTTAAAGATGGATTGGATTTTCCTAAAACCACTGACCAGTATTTCCATCCGTAAGAGAATCTTATAGCCTTCCGAATGTTTCTAAATGCTGGCGCTTTTAACTAGCAAAAGAAATCGTGGGTGGATTGCCCTTGGAACGAAAGTGTCCTTTGCTCCAGGATACGCTACTGTTCATTTTCTTGAGATCTGTTACTCATACTTACTCAGAATATATCCTGCGATTTTTCCAACAACAGTCTTAAATATGCGGCAAGAGACTCACTTTAAACTTGAGGTGTACGTGTCCTCAAGAATTAGAACATCGCTGCTGAACAGAGGCGGAAACCGTAATGCTGAAATAAGTTGAAAGCGAAAGCAGCGCTGTTGAAAATGAAACCCAATAATTTTAATGAGACCTTGTTTGGAACCTTGAGGGAAGTATGACCAGAATCTTTTTAAAACAGAGTTTGCCATTTTCATTTTCAGACGAAATGGGTTTAAGCTAGTGTGATAGTCAACTATTATGTTTGTGTGAGATCTTTTCATCTAAAGCTTTCCCCTTTCTAAAAAGGTAAATTTTGCTAGAATTGAAAAAGGAAGAAAAGAAAAAAACACAAAACAAACCTATACCGGAACCCAAAAATACCCCGAGGACCCCGATTATTCTTACACACCACCCGTGATTACAGTAGGGAGTAAATCCACGTTGTTTGATAAGCGTATTTTCAGAGTTATCCCGAAATTGTAGCTATTAGTGCGCATATTTGCTTCGAAGTTTAAATAAGGGGAAAGTAGATTTTCTACCCATTCGTGCTGTAAAAAAGACGTATTGTAGAAAACAAGGCAGTCCCCTTTGCTAATTGCTTTATTCAGATTGGTTGCTTTCGGTTACATTGTTTTTTTATGACGAAGCTTTTTATCACACAAAGCATGTTCTTCCTTGTTTAGTTGTGCACAAAATTTTTAATTATAAACGCTTAAATGCGGTTGATGAAATGGTAATTCAAAGCCTGGCTTTCTAAACCTACATTCTTAGGTAAAACATATATGTTGGAATGCCGTGTTGTCACTTTTATCTCAGCATATGAAAGAGAAACAGCTACAGTCAGATTCTTCTACTCATTTTTGAACAACAGCAGCTACAAAACTTTTTTGAGCTGAATAGAGCTAGTCAGAGTTTTCTGAGTGGATCTTCTAACCATCGGACTGAATACTGTGTACAATATTGTTTGTGTGATCTTCTTTGAGGATCTTTAGGCACGGAATTAGGCGGGCTATTTTGCTGGCTATCTCCCTGTCATCTGGGTGGGATTCATCTTCTCTAGGGAAGCGAAAGCTACCATCGGTGCTTTGTGATTCCAGCACATAGAAGTACCTCTGCATCACTCCACTTGTTGGGCATCCCAGAGAGCTAAACAATGCTGCGGCTTAATCGATAAGGCTCCACCAACGTCACGGACAGGCCGGGGTAACAAACACCGCCGAACTACGTCACCACCGGCTCAACAAGCCCAGCTTTAGCGAGGTCCGCAGGGTGCTAAATCGTCGCAAGGGACAAACTTAGCAACGGTTTCAAATATGAGCGTGGCCAGCACAGACAATGTAGGCCTATAGATCCCTTCAGTAGTGACTCCTTAGGGTATCGTGTACCCTTGGCCATTAAAGAAAAGATTTGGAATAGTAGTTTGGAGATATGGACGCGGAGTCACAGATACCAAACTATGGCTGATTGTGGCAGCCGCTGTAACAGTTTCCTCCATGACTAGTGGCCTGGGTGGCTCAACGTAACGAACGTAATTCTGCAATGTACGCACTGTGCCTCAAAATCGCACCCCTAGAATGCCTTTAGATTCTTATACCCATGGGACTTGCCAACCAATATCAGAATTTGCTGTGGTTACACAATCAAAAAAGATGTTGATATTGCCAAGATATAGCTTCCCATTTTCAACCTGTGTTTTTTTAAACGACGCTACACAACACATCTCCTGAACGGCATGTACATAAACAACCTTGAACCAATTCAGGCAATCCTGGCCTAATCTCGTTGGGCCCCGGCCCCCCTCTCAGTGTTGGTGGTCGATGCCTAGACTTGAATCAAGTCGGACTTACTTTGCTCTTCCCCGGTCAGCCGTCCCTTCCCTGTACGCACTACACGGTCTTTGCGCTCGGCCCAGCAGCTCGCATTTGATAACGCGCCCTCATCTGATAGCCTTTATTGTACTTTGTGTGTCATTCGTCACCTGTCAGTAAGTCCAGCTTGACGGATAAGCCAATCAGACCCTGTTGCAGATATATGTAGTTATTCATAATTCCGTATGAACGACGTGATCTTGCATAATGTATACGGAATTTCCACTTATCAGACTTGTCAGACTTGTGGGCTCATTCATTATAGTACAGGTATGAAGGGCGAAAAAACAAGTACGGCAATGTGATTGGCAGCTACCACTTTTGGGAGATGAGCCCATTCGCTGTGGCAGATTCGTCAGGTCGGAATATCTGAACTGAACTCATAGTATAGTGGACACGAGAGGGCGCGAAGCAAGTAACGACGCGCGATCTCGATATGTATCCAAAGCAAAGGCGAAGACGTCACAGAGATCCCGTTTCAGTCAAGTCTAGCCGATGCCTGGCCTACGCTCCAGCTCGAGATATCAACATTGAGCGGGGATAGGAGGACCTGGGGTGGTTAACTACCCATCTATTTATACGTGTCCCAACAATTTTGGCCAGGATTGCAGGACATCATCATTCTGATCTTTGGTGTGTACCGGCGATCAAGTCTCTGAGATTACTGCGCTCGGGAACTGGTGTTATATACCGATAAGAATTACCTCGCTGTCCACGCCGTGATCTTATCTTGAACAAAGTCATGTCAGAAAGTACTCATTGCACTTATCACCTATCACAGATTTTATATCACTGTGATGAAATAACGATAGGCTGGTATTGGACATATCTGCCAAATCGACGGTTATTAAGTCATGATTCGTTATAATTTGACAGTTTTTATTTTTACAATGCAGGGCCTTGGCCGCCAGGTTTTCAGGTCAAAGACTTGGCCTTAAAATCAAATGGAAACCTTTTCTCCAATACTGGCTTGTACGTAGACTTACATATGTGGAATGGCACAAAGGATGACGTAATCATATGATAATATAAATAAGGTGTAAATATTTACTGACAACCCATCTTCCATCATTACTCGAGTTACACTTTGACAATCTGATTTCGCAAGTAGTTATTGAAAAGATAGCTTCAATCAAACATTCAAAATGCACCTTTTTGTCTCAATTACCTTTATTACCAACTTTTGTTTCACTATTTTCAAAGGGTGTTTCATTTCCATTTTTGCTCCCATGCTAACGAGTGTATCCATCATGAGCACAACTGTGACGCTGTCCCGGGTAGAAAGCCTTATTGTAACATTGGACACTACAAAAAAGTGATGAGAAAATGCAAGTATTATTACGAAGAAGCTCACTGATGTATTCACATCAACATTTCACACAACTGAAAATACGACATCTTAAAGTCTACAATGTTGAAAATGAATTTATGACAAGAAAAGTGTTTGTTCAATCACATCTTTATAGAGATAGAATTTGCTGTGACAAGTTCTCTTCAGAGTGCAATGTGTCTGGAGCTATGTACCACACATCAGATCCACCACACAACGGAACATGTTATTTAACAGAACGAGTGGGTTCCTGATTCCGCTGTCATTTCATGCTAGTATAGGAAACGAGAGAACCTACAAGAAAAGGTAAAAATGGCAGGTCCTTCACGTAATACTAGGAAAGAGCTCGGACATGCAGACAGGTGAATTGACGTGGTCCGGGGACTTGTCCGTTATTATGTGCGGTCATATAAAAATAATAAAGAGAAGCTGTCGGGGAGAGCTTTAATGTTGACGAAAATTGTTTGTGTGTATGAGTGTTTTTCTGATACTTCTGCATTATGTCGCACTCTTTAATTAAAGACACAAACTTTACATGGTATTGAATGTGTAAGCACAACTCAGTGTTCCTTGGTGAAGACAACTAATTACGGAACCTCACATTACATATATAATTTGTTTTAAACTATGGTAGCAATTTAATCACTCAGTCTTCACCAAGCAGCATTAATGGTTTTGTTATGTCGTTATTATGAACAGTGAAAAGCGTGTCTCTGAAATGGCCGAGTGGTTAAGCTCGCTGTTATCAGATCGTTAGACGGTGGGCTCGAATCCTAGGGGGTGCCTTTTTATTTTCCCAACGCTTGCTGTCAGTCAGTAGCTACAAGAGACTCTAATTGACCCCCGTCAAATACCAACAGTACCTTAGCCGACCGGATAAGCTCTTCTGCTGGGATTGTCCGCGAAGTCCAGGTGAGCACCTAAGTACAGGTTCGAGACGTATGGCAGACTCGTCGGCCAGGGCTTAGGGGCCTGTCTCGTTTCCTCCCTTGCAAACCCTTTTTGGGG